GAAATAAAAGACAATGAATCTCATATATGCTGCTGGATTTAGTTTGCTGCACTACTGGGTGTCCCCATTGATTTATCTCTGTCACTCATCTCCCCATATACCAAAAGTACCATCTGACACCAGGGAGAGAAAGTAGTTTAGCCTCAGGTCTAATCAATAGAGAGAAGCTTTTGGAGGTTGTTTACAGCTGTGCTTTTGGTCCATGATGCACAAACCCAGCTGGCCAATAAAATGCACTTAGACAAGAGCAATTTTGTTTGATTTCCAGAGATTTGAACACAAAAATGAACCATTATTACAGGGCCTGTCATCAGCACGGGTGAAAAGTTGCTAGTGTATTTCAGTAAAAGTCAAACAGTATTCTCAAGCACACATTTATCTCCTCACTGCGCTAGCCTCTGTTTTCCTACTTAAGCAGAGAGACTGCATCAATTCTAAAACAGAAAACCAGAAGCAGGGATTGTAAAGGCTCTGAAGAGTATTTAAGTGTTTTAACAGTGTTCCAGGCGCACAGAGCGTCAGCGGGTTTGGAGAAAAAACTCAGACGTCTTGCGTATGGCCAAAGAACCAGGGCACTTACAGTCATGAAGCAGGCCAGTGCAAGATAATGTGTCTTACCAAGCCATACAGTATGTAACCACTGCCAAATGGATCCATGTAAAGTCTATGTGACCTCTATAGTTACACAGACCAGGGTTCAGACCCTTCCCAGCTATATAACAAAAAGACATGTATTAAGTGTTTAGGAAATTGAATGATGTTGGATCGTGAGATAATTTACAGTGTGATGTGGAGCAGTATAATGTGTAAATGTACTTATATAATGGTATGAACTTGATAACCTGTCCAATTCTTCCACTTGTACATTTTAAAGAGCTTTTAAACTCCGATTTGCCACATATGTGGCCAGTTTTTTCCTTTTAATAATACAACTGGAGACAACAGATGTGTCTCCATCATAGTATAACATTTATAATATGGCACTGACTGATGGCTTACATAGGTTCACACAGTTAGCACACATTTGCTTGACTGTTGAAGGAGCGATGCTGGAGTGCACTGACATGAACGGAGACCTGGCTGTCAAGACCTGTTTCTTCTCTGTTTTTTCCACACCTTAGCTTTTTCTCTCAAGCCATCAGCTCTGATAAATTGTTTGTCACTAAGCGTTACTCTTTGACTCCAGAGAGAAAAGGGTCTTGAGAAAAAAAAGACAAATATGTCTGAAACCTATCATATTTGATAGGTTTGATAGCCTTTTACTTTTTCATGACTAGTAGTCACACAAGAAAGTTTGATGTCAAAAATAGCAGGTAGAGTGAAAAAAGATCCTGCTTTTATGGTTGTATGCTCCCAAACAAATAATGTTTTGAGACGTTATCAAACATGAACTAGGGACATTTTTGGAAAATTGGGTCCGGATCTTTTCCAGTTTGTCTCTCATATATGAAGACAGCCACAGGAGTTCGTCTGAGTCCTACGTGTTCGCAATATCAGGAAAATGTACAAAACAACAAAAACTCAAATCGTTTTTCCAAGATGACATCTTCTATGTATAAAGTTCCTCCTTTCTATCCTGGAATGTTTGTATTACTTCAGTTTTTTCAGTTTTGCACCCAGCACGTTAGAAGTGTCATCAACACGCATTTTGCTGCTGGGTTCTCACATGGGCTCTCTCGTTTTAGTTGAGGGTTGGCAGGAAAAGTTCCAGAAAAGTGTTAGCGTTCTCACATGCAGCCTTCCAGGAGAATGCCCAGGGTTCAGTGCATGTTTGAATGCAGCTTTATAGAGGGTAAATAGTCCAGGACAGCTTCCTTCCACCTTACAGTTATATCCTTTGTTTACCCTGAACTCTGCAATGAGGACCTTAGATGTAAGACTTTAACCTGATTGGTTTTCAAGTGGAAGATCAGGGAATGCAAACTGACATTTATCTTCCTTTTGTAAAATACCACAGGAGCATTTCCTGTGTGCGGGGCACCACGCAGAATGCTAATCCCCTGCCATTGTAGCATAGCATTTAATCAGACAGAGATAATGATATTGGTAGTTAACCGATGAGGCATCCGATGGGGTAAAATGAACTCAGCCATTCCCGGTCAATTTGGCAGAGCTGAAGTCGTGGCTTTAAGTAATCATCTCAGAGGATGACTCATTAAAAATACAGAAGTGCTATGTAATAGCATTGTAAACAACTGTATTGGTCAGACAGAGAAGTTGTTACTGCACCTCTTTTCTCCAGAGAATTTGAACTAAGCCTCATTAGGGAAATAGAAGCCTGGAAACACTAACAACATAGCCATCAACCAAGTTGCAGGAAACAACACTATTCTTTAAAGGCACAGGAGATGATTGAGTCACAGCAGAATTGCAGGGGAAACGTAGGTCCACAGACAGGCAGCTGCTAAAATAGTTTTTAAAGCTTTATAACACTCTCGCTCCATACTTGACATGACATAGCCGTAAAAAAAGCCATAAAAAGGCTCTTTGTAAAAAGGAGTTTTGTATGTGCCTTTATGTGTTTGTATGTAGTTCTCTTGCAGTTTAAATATGGCTTTTGGCATTGCTGCAGTGCACAGAGCCACACTATTGATTTCTTTTCAATTTTTCCTACCCCCCTCACCCTCTCACACACACACACACACACACACACACACACACACACACACACACACATTGTTTTTCCCTTTTTTTCCAGCCTCCCGATGGCCTTGGTTCGATTGTCAGCACAGCAATGTGGATTAAATTGCACTCATGTTGTACGGATGCTTTTAGTACTTTCTCGTTTTGGATAGAAAAAAAGTGAACCACAAGTCTCCAGTGACTAGTGACTCTGTAATGACAGTGTGACCCCTCATAGAAATGAATCATACATTGGTATGGCAGGAAAAAAACAGGTAGCGGAGTGTTTGAAAATAGAGAAGCATGACAAAATGAATTCTAAAAGGAGTTATTTTCTTTTATTACATCCGCTGCTGTTGCATTTGGTCATTGATGTTGTTTCAGTGCGCTCACCGTACATACTAACACCATTATCTCGCCATTGACATCTGAATTTATGTTTTTTGATGTATGCCAAGCAGGATTCACTTTCCATATATCAAGTATGATTTATGTTGCTGAACAGTTACAGACACTTCTTTTAAAATAAGTTGAATGACCATGCACAAAACTGCCACTCTTGTGTACATTCAGCACGTCCAACTCAGATATCCAGTGTCCTCTGCCTCTTACCATCTTCCCCTGCGTCAGCCGAACTATCCGGCCCTCTTCGATTTTCACTGATAGAGCTCTTTCTTCTCTCACCTTCTCCCTCAGGGTTCAGTCGAGCCGCCCTGCCATTCGGCTTAGTGCGGAGAGAGCTGTCTTGCGAGGGTTACCCCATCGATCTGCGGTGTCCGGGAAGTGACGTCATAATGATCGAAAGTGCCAACTACGGCCGGACAGACGACAAGATCTGTGACGCCGACCCTTTCCAGATGGAGAACGTCAACTGCTATCTTCCAGATGCCTACAAGATTATGTCGCAAAGGTAAAATACGCAGACACCACGGAACAGTGCCAAAGAATCGTTCCCAGGAAATGATGCCAGACTTACAGGACCCTTAGAAAATACTTGATAGGGCTCAACAGCAACAGTTGCATAGTTGCCCTGAGCAACCAGATCTGGAACACAGTCAAGCATTTAATTTTGTCTGGTTGCCCCTGTTGGCATCTGTTTTCCCGTGTTTAAAATCCTGCTGCATCCATCGCCTTTGCAGTAAAATCCTCCACCGAGGAGAATAACAGGGCAGCTGTAGGACTGATTTACTGTTATCGAAAATAGCAAATCTGATTATCTGAATGTAAGTGTGGAGGGAAAAATGAGAAAGTCAACAGCAGCCTGTCAGCATCAGTAACCTGCAAAACATCAACGTTAGCACTTAGTGAGCTGAACCTGAACTAAAGAGAATCAGAAACTCTATCATAACTTGAGGAGTGAAGCCGAGCTGATAAACAGAACAGAGCAGAGCAGATTCAAAATATCCACAGTGATGTTCACTAATGCACTCACACAACAAACAACAGGCTGAACAGACTGTGAAACTGCACTGATCTAATCTGGCTGCTGTGAGGTAATTCTTCTGTCTATTGTAATTTACTCTGTTAAATACATTACCTTGCAAATGTGCAATCTAGATTAAGTATGCTAACATTAGTCTATTACACTTAGCTTTGTTTCGCCTTATTAGTGAGGCTGAGCAACTTGCTTTTAGTGAAATCCGTTTAATTTGTGCCTCTGTGTGTGTGTGTGTGTGTGTGTGTGAGAGTGTGTGTGTGTGCATGTGAGAGAGGAAAAAGCATTCCAAAAAAAGTAATACAAAATTAAATACCAAATAAAATAGTGTTATGTAAAAAGGTCCATTTTGGTGTAATAAATTAATGCAATTTGAATCCAGTCAAATAAGAAAATGTAAAAAAGCAAAAAGTAGAACAATTCACCTTATTTTCACCCAAAAACTGTCAACATCACAAGCTTACACCCTGAATCTAGCCCTGACAGTGAAAAAATGACATTGTGCTGATGATGGATCACCAAACAATGATCCGTCTATCATTGGTTGTCTACTTCTATAGATCAGTCACACAGTAATAGACAGTGTTTTAGGCATTGTCTTGTTAGTGCAGAGTAGTTCAAACATATTTTTTAATCAGATGAAATCAAAGATTTGAGATAGATTAATCATGTACATCTGAAACTGACAGCAATGTGTGCTTATTCGGAGGATTTCCCAGTGGTGAAAAATACCAAGTACATAAGTACATCTTCTCAAGTGATATACCTAAATGCAGGTATTTATATTGAGTATTACCACTGTTGACTCGACCACAAGCCAGTGAGAAAGGTTGTGCTTTTTCCTACATTTAACAGCTATAATTACTAGTTATTTTCATATCAACACTGTGCATAAAAAAAAAAAAAACATGGTCACATATCAGTCTATAAAATTGTTTGTACCCCCTTGGATTAAACCAACCTATACTATATATAGAATTGTTAAAATTAACTGTAGTAATAGTAATCCTGGCAGTGACAATTCTACAGGTTGCACTTGTACTTTAAGTAGATTTTGTTGCCATTACTTCTGGATTTTACTGTAGTATAATACTGATTGCAGGACTTCTACTAGCAATGTTTATAGAGCGGTAAGGCTCAGTGAAATAATTGAAATACCTCGTCAATCACATCAGCATACTGCTCCCCTCTATCGGTCCCTTTGGTAAATCCTGTTGGTCAGATTAAGCGCCGGTACGTGGCAGGACCAATTTAGAGATGCTCCATATCTCCTAAGCTCCCATTGATTGATCACCAGTCACACAGATGCCCCACATTTTTAAAGCCACTGTCTCTGTAGCCATCAGTCATGTGAAAGGAAGGATGATTTAGTGTGGAAAACAAACCAACGGAGGTACATGTTTCTGCACGCACACACACATGCACCACGACGGGGTTCCACTGGCAACGCTGTATACATGAGACCCTATACATGAGACCAGTTGTCACAAAGGTATGCCATCTGAGCCAGAGTGAGCAGGATGGAATGACATATGAGTGCCACAGCGAGAGATATGGACGGTATGAGAGCGTCAGCAACTCTAGTCCGTCGCCATGGGAAATAAAGAAATAATGAAATAAAACAGTCGAGCCCTTGTATTCAGGGGTTTTATTGTCAAGCCGTGTTTGATGAAGTCAGATAGCTGACTCACTGCTTGTGACCCTGTGTATTACGCTGCCCTTAGCCTTGCTCGTATCTTCATATTAAAAACAATCCACTGAAGCACAAAAACACAAACATCCAGCAGGAGCTGGCAGACGAAAAAAAAAAAACAAAGTCTCGTCCAAAAGCTCTCCAGCAGAGGAGTCGGGTTCATTCCTCATGTGCATATCCTAAGTGTGCCAGAGGCCGGAGTTCAGATGTTATTTTAAATGTGTTTTTAGCATTTCAATGTTTCTGCTGAACTATTGTATTCGGAGCAAAGAGGAAAATGTCTGCGTTCGAAGAAAAAAGCACTTTGGTACAAAAGATCTCTCTCAGGTACTGGAGTTAAAAAGAAATCACACAAAGAAGAACCCCCTAAGAGCTTACATCTGATACCACAGGAAAGAATCTGAAGGTGATCAACGGACAGACACATATTTATATAATATGAGATAGAATTTTTTTTAATGGTGCAAATTCCTGTGAGACATATCACCAGGGAAAGTGTGAATTTATCAGCTTCGATATGTTTGCATCAGTGTGATTGTCCGTTAGTTAGGAGCGTAACATAGAAACTACTGGACACATTACCATGAAACTTGGCAGAAGTCCAGGAATTTTTCTCACTTTCTTTAATATTGAGAAATACAGAAGGATTTTAATATCACCAATTTTCCAGGGAATGCATTATGGGTCAGGGAAGAACCCATGAAATCTTGGTGCATATCCAGGAACTTAACATCAGGGGACTGAAATATTTGAGAGTGTGCAATTTAGTGTGGGCGCATTGAATTAAATGCAACGTTTGGGCCTTAGGAACATACTCACTTGAATGAACCATAGATTTAAAGATGCATAGTTCAATCCCTATATAGTTGATATTACTAATATTTACTGATATTACAGAACGATTGTTTGTGTAATAGGAGCAGAAATATAAAATAGATTTGAGGTCAGTTGATGAACACCCAACATTGCATATGCGACTAATGAGTGATTTTCTCCTCATGTCCATTCATTTACATTTATAGACTAAAACATGAAGCAAACGTGATGAAACAATAGCGCTGCTGCCAAACATTAATATCCTCAGCCAAGAAATGTAGTGAATACTTTGCCTATTTTGGATGCAGTGTTTGTTTCACTGTTACAAGGTCTGAGTCCATCACTTCTGCACATGTGGAGCAACCCTCCGCACTGTGTATGGAAAATAAAGTAAAGTATTTCCTACTGTACAGTCTCCCATAAATAAAGGAGCGAGGTGCCAAAAATATTTGTTGCCATAATTACCCTGCCCTATTAATTTCAGTGTGTGCGGAAAATCACATTAGTACTTGTGTGGAAAACTGTGTTCACTTTTAAACATCCGAAATTGATGTGTTCCTGAAGTGTGGAGAATTGGATTGAGGCTTCGCTGAGTTTGATAGATCCTGTTGGCACTTCAAGTTGTTTTTATATCTGGCTGGCATATTATATTCATGAGCACAATGATTTTATGAAAATAGCCCTAGGACTGTTGTGGCTCAATTAGAACATTCAGCTGCAAGCAATTAGTCGACTCAAGTGGGTGATAATCTGTAGAGGAATTTTTCATGTGGACACCTCCCCAGCAGATGTGAAACTGCATGGCAGTACAGTTTGAAATAATTAAATTATTGGTAATAATAGTCCGCGAGATTATTTTTCATGTGATTCTTCTTCAGGATTTCACATATCTCATCAAACATCATCTGTACTCTGATAATGATAATTGCACCCACAATGCATTCCCACCTGATAATATCCACCTGATTAAAACTGTGATTTATATATATAGAATATTTCTTTGTAATTAATTTACTACATGCATTAACCATCTGGTTCTTGGTTGTTGTTGATTTAATGTGACCACTCGTTCGTATCACAGCAGGTTTGAGGAGCAGCAAAGATGACAGTGACACATCTAATAATTCTCACTTATAAAGATATAGAATATGAATAAGCGGCTCACGTGTATTGATCACCCCTTTGACTAATGAGCTCCATTGGAAGTATTCGATAACAAGGTCATTGATTGCTGTAACTGAACATGGCTGGGTCCTGCCATGCTTGTGTAACATTGGTTCTTTCCAAAGGGCGTATATCATTTCCAAGAGTAATCAATGCAGATGGGTCTCTAACTGAGGACATGAAATACATCAGGGGGATTGCAGGAAAACTATGAGCCAGATTGAGTTCATTTTTATCATGAATCATTAATTAAATATAAGAAATATCATGAAACGGATAATTACAGCACACCGTTGGGTATTTAGACATTTTCAGTTTTGTATCTCAACAGCTTGACTCTGATAAATATTTACAAATATTGGTAATGATAGTAAGTTGGGGAGGAAATAGCTGACTTGCAATGTTGAAATGAACAGGCATCACTTTGTAATTGGTGATATTTACCAAATTCTAGTCAACAGTGAGTGTGGCAGTTCTGCAGACTAAATGATGCCTCTTACACTATTTATATCAGTGACAAGGCTGCTTGCAGGGTTCTCCGAGGAGGTCCATTGTTGCCGCCTGACAGCGCGCTGCCTTGTTCTTCCTCTCTGTACATACAGTGTTAGTGCGTTATTTAAAGCACAGCAGATTAAGATTTCATAAAGATCCAGATTCAGCCGGGGCGTTTCTGAGGGGTGTACACAAGTTCATGAGCCATGAAACTGCTCTCTGCTCAAAGACTATATCGGTGATGATGTGCTAAATTAAAATAAAAGTGTCTGAACCGTCGTCAGTGGCTCTCATCAGCCAAGAAAACTGC